AATCTCTGGCAAAAGTATGGCTATTTACAGTACCTGCCAACTTAGGCTACCGGTATTTTAATTCCTTTCAACTAAAAAAATTTGGTTAGTTTTTTTTCTAGTATTTTAAATTGAAATGATTTATAAAATAGGGCAATTTTTTTTTTTTAAATAAAAATTCAGCAGTGAATTTTAACGAAATCTGTTGGCTGTACAAAAACACAAAACTATGCGAAAATTATGAAAATTTAGATGCAAAACAACACAACACACTAATGAGAGAGTATAAACAGTGAAACTTACATCATTATCAGAATGTGCTTCGTAATTTGATTGCTGATTAGAATTTTGATCGAACGCATAAATTAATCGTATGTCATCAGTGGTCAGCATATGTCCTTCAATAACCATCTCACCGCTGTCTTGAAACTCTCTTAGTTGCCCATCTGACAATTCTTTTACAGCCTTGGCAACAATCTTAGAATCAGCCTTGAGACGTTTTCCAAGGACCATATAATCGGGTTCTGCCCTCAGATGAACTCCATATTTTTCTTTGTCTCGTGAGGTGGTTAACTGACGCACGTTCAATTCCTGGGAGACACAGGCCAAATAAAGTTAACGTCTGGAGAATTCATGCAAAAATGGCAGGAAAAGGGAACACTGAATAATTGGTTTAACATTCGGTTAAAAAACATTTTAAAAGGTTAAATTTAAATTAAGTTTTTCAACCTCATTCCACAAACGATGACCCTCACATTTTAACCCAAGTATGTTGAGTTTTGCATATGAAACACTATTAATATTCACCGTAGCACGTATGCGTTTCCAAGTGGCCAACATATTGTCACTTATTTTCAGGCAACCTGCTTGACAGTTAATATATCTCACCTCAATGATGTAAGTTTCCAGTGATCTTAAGTCATCCAGAACCTTGTCATCTTGATGTATGACAACCACTTCATGAAGAGGATACTAGAAACAGAAATAGTGTAACAATTTTTACCTTTCCTTATATAATGGAATTACTTTTTTCCCCAAAGTTGATGTTCGTAAATTTTATAATTACACAAAATTATTCATTATAATTACAATTTTAATAGTTAAAATACTTAGTTTAGTTATTTGGTCAAAATGTAAGTTACCAGTTACCATAGTGATGGTGATGGTGAAAAGAGGCAAGGAAAGAAATAATGCTCATTCAGTTGAATCAAATCAGACAGATCATTGCAACAACCAGTAGACAGACAGACAGACAGACAGACAGACAGACAGACAGACAGACAGACAGTAGGACACACAGACACTAGTCCATGTACAAAATGTATGCTTCACACCTAAAATAATAAACTACCCGGTAAAGCATTTCAAACAAAATTTTGATATAATATGCCAAAAACCTATGCTGACCATAAAGGCCAAATTTCACGCTTGAAATATTTGTGACTTAGTCTCATGTTTTCATTGACAGTCTCTTTCCTTCAGATATACATGTGGCAATTCATTCTATCATAATGTAACTGAGCATTTTACTATAGTATCACTAACACGATACAATTTGTCCGGCTGCTATTTGCTTCTAAGTAAGCTTTTAAGAAGTAAGCCCACCTGTCAATCAATGTCAAAGCAACGTGGCATTCTGGGAACTGATGTCTGACCTCTAGGTCGTGAAGGTAAAATCTTTCCAAACACAACAAAAACATGTATAATCAGGACAAATTGTGTTAGTAAAATTAAATTTTATGTAAGATGACTTATTAAAATTTGATTTTTTTTTTACAGGCAGCTATTTATTCATCAATGTTGAGATGGATTCCAAGAAAAGATATAATCAGTTATATATTGCCATAGAGGGCAGTATGCATACTTTTAATGGCAATGTTTTTCTGTCTCTGATGACTCTTCCTAGTTCAATGACAGCTTGCATCTTTGCCACAGCTTTCTCAATCTGTTCATCAATTAATTCATTTCTGCAGAAAAAAAACAACATTTTTTTTTACTTTTCACAATTGCATTTAAAAAAAATAAATAACCTCAGTGATCAAGTAAACATATCATTGGGATGATTAAAAAACTAGACATTATTAATATAAGTATTAAGTGATTTAGTTTTGTCATTGGAATTGAAATTTTGTGGTCATACTTGCAATAAACAAGTCATTGACATGATGTAGTCCTCGTTGTGCAATAGTAAACAAAACTGAAACTGAATCAGACCAGGTGTGATGTAATTAAACTAATGTGTATAGATTTGAACTGCTTATGAGTAAAAGTACTGCTTTTGATATTTTTGATTAGCATTGTGAAATTAATGCATTTTCATTAGTGTGTGACATGATGTATGAGGGACGTGTGATGTTTAAACATCATTGGTCCAGATATTGAATTGTGTGTGGGTTGAGAAAATGTAAAAAGAAGAAACCTGAAACAGCAGTATAATGAACTATAACCAACTGAGCTAGTATACACACACACAAAAACTTGAAAACATAGTACTATAATTTACATAATATTACATATTATTTTTTGATACTTATATAGCGACATAACTCCAGAATATCTTATAATGATTAATTATAATGATAAATAATGATTGACATTCATTTACGTCACAACCATGGACACAGAAAAGGAGTTTACGGATATTGATATAGAAAGCATACTCCAGCTGTTGAGCGTACTTGTGAACAATGGTAAAGATGATTTACTCAAACTAGAAAATATATTCATCGCTTTTGTGAGGATGTGGAAGGAAACTCAAATATTTTGACTGAGTTGTAGCGACAGTGTATAGATTGTTGATGTGCGCAACTGCCCCATGCGCTTCGCAGGATCTGAGGTGGAGGTTGCAGACATATAATATATCATTGTGGTATTACGAAAAAACAAATTCCTACAAACTTTGTGATCTCAGAACAACAACTTTCAGGAATTTCTACAGACTAAACCAGCGATAACAGGGTCTCCTATAATCCTCATACATCGATAAGTAACATGATGTAGAAAGACAGAATTGTTTGGACCTGAATTCCCTCTAGTGGTCAGGTTGGGAGATGTTGCAGAGACATTCACACCAACACAAGTATAAATACTTCATGGTGATTGATGTATGAGTTTACAGAAATGCAAATGAAAATATTTTGTTTGATTTATGGGTTTATATATTTTGATCTAAAAAGTCTCATTTTGATTTTATTGATGAGTAACAATCGTCAAAATCAAAATAACTATCTACACTAAACATACAATACATATCATACTTGGTGACTAACTAAATATTCCACAGACACAGCATAAATTGATCGTACCTTGGCTGAGGTAACATCAAATAATGTACGCTTTCATCTTGGTTTTTTGACGTACTAGAATCAATTAAATGCCTCAAATTCTGGTAGATTTGCTCTGTAAGGAATGGCGTGAATGGTGTCATCATCCTCACCATTGAGAATAAAACACTAAATAATGTTTGCAATGCACATAAACAATCCTCAGAACCACCATCACCCTGAAATTGAACACAAAAATAAGTTACTTATATTTTAAGATTTTGCTCAGAAAAATTGAGCATTTTTGCTTTGCATGTTTTTACAAGACTTTCGACCATTTGATGTCTTTTTTGGGCAGAGGTTTCTTACATATTTTATGCCAACTGTCTAATATAAACATGAAAAGATTGTCATTTTTGTTTAGTTTTCCCTGGATTTGTGTTCCATACTTATCTACAGAATACATCTCTGTCTTTTTGAAGATATTTCAGTGTTTGGGTTAGCAAATTTAAAGATCGCTTCACGTTTCCACTCACCTTAAGACGTTTCCGATTTGACCTTACATACCAGTTAGTTAATTTCTCCACAAATCTGACCAGCTTTGGTACAACAGTATAAAGACGATAACCTGGAATTAACAAGCCATGCATGGCACAGTCCTCGTTAGTTATCAAATATATAGTTTTGTTTATAGTAAATTAAATATAGTTTCAACATAAACATGTCAGAGATATGGATCCAGAAGCTGATGCCTGACTATGATTTTTAACATTAAAATTTTTGACATTCAGTCATCCATATTGCTCTGAAACATCATAAATTAAAACAAAATCAGATCGTCAAACCAATACATCTGTATATCTATGACATAATGTATAATGAATATATAAATTTGAACATCAGTCGAAGCATGTCAGAGATATGGCTCTAGAGTAACATTCATTAAAACAAAATGACCACTAGTCAGCCACTAAAAATTGATCTGGAAAACAAAATGACTTGCATCAAGGTCCCATAATATCTAATGTATGTACCAAGTTTGAACATACTCCATCAGTAAACAACCAAGATCTGATTCTGGGTGCCAGAAATGCTTGATTTTGATGAATTTTCAACAGAAAAAATGGCCACTATTCAGCCATCTTGAATCAGACCGTGAAACAAATTGGTGTGCATATATATGTATAATATCATGTATAAAGTATGTGTGAATGTAATCGATCTAGGCATGTCTATAATATAGATCCAAATGCACACACACATTCTCAGATTCATGGACGCAAAGACTGTGTCTGTATTGGAACTAAAAACTTAATCCTTTAACCAGTTTTAATCCTGATTTGTGTATCCTCTTGTCCTCCCTATCCACAATAAGCTGTGAGAACTCTTGATTATTCACCCTTTGATGCATGTAATGCACATACCTGCCATTTCTTGTCTAACAAATGCAATCAAACTCTGCGTAAATGACATGATCCACTTATCCATTATATTGTCCAATGGTCGGAGAAGATCTTCGTTGTACACAAATTGTACATTCTCATCCTACGAGTTGGATTGTATCCAGAGAGTGAGAGATAAGAAACACCAGGATTATGATTTTGTTATATCATTAAATCCCCCCAGAATTTGATATTTTAATATTTCACCAGTTCAATTTTAACATAGCTTTACATTTGATGCACTTCCTTTAATATAAAACATGATGTTTGTTCTAGAAAGTGAGGCATATACCTCGGTTATTACTACAGTTGGAAGTTTATACTGAAATTATTTCCCCAAACAAATTTCATGAACGAAATACGAAATTCAATATGATTTCGCTAAATTTTATTTTCACAAATTTAAATTTATATATTTTATTTATTTCAATAATTCAACGGTTTATGCGATGAAAATAAAAGCTAACTATTATACTGTGTGTCTACCTTGTGTAGTCTCTCAACATTTTGCATTAGGAATCTGTAGGCATTGTACCATGGAAGGAAGACGTCTTTTAACACGTCTCGAACTCCTTCTTCTTTGAACCTTAGGCTTTCAGCTCTGACAACAGGTGAATTGATTAAATATAATCTGTAGATTATATAACAGAAATTAATGTATTACAATAAATTTCATGAAGACATAATTTGTTTTTTTATGGAAATTTATAAAATATGTATGATTCAACTTGGAAGATTCCCACACTTCATTCAAATTCTATGATGATGTTTTTATTGGCAAAAGAATCCATTTGGTAGTGCCCCATTACCCATTAGTCTTTGCAGGTTTGCTTCAATCATTGGCTGATTTTCATACCATACATCACCTTGTGATTGGTCAAGTTGTTTTCAAAAATCATTTAAAATTTACAAAACGTTTCTGCCTTCATGAAATTCACTGTGGGAAAATGTCACTAGTATTGAACACCAAGCTAAGGATGTCTGCTCCATACATGTTGGTCAGTAACAATGGTGCCCTGAATAGGTGTGTTAACTCCCTAAGTCAGCAGGAATGATCACCTAGTCAGTGAAAAAGACAATTTATCTGAGATGCATCAACACCATTGGTCAGTAAATGATAACCAGTTTATTGGATGAGTCAGAATGACCATCTACCGAAGTGTATATCTCCCTAAACCCAAATTTTTGAGCAAGTTAAATTATTTAAGGGGTATCAACTTCATGGGTTGGTACAGTATGACCTTCTCAGTAAATCCAAGAATTAATGCTAACGATTGCCTAACTAAGAGGTATTAGCTCCTTAAGCCAGTAATAACAACCACCTACCTCAATGCATCTGATCCATATTTATTACTACAGTATGACCTTCTCAGTAAATCCAAGAATTTATGCGAATAATTGCCTAACTAGGGGGTATTAGCTCCTTAAGCCAGTAATAACAACCACCTACCTCAATGCATCTGATCCATATTTATTACTACAGTATGACCTTCTCAGTAAATCCAAGAATTTATGCGAATAATTGCCTAACTAGGGGGTATTAGCTCCTTAAACCAGTAACAACAACCACCTACCTCAATGCATCTGATCCATATTTATTAACAACCTCTATAGGATCAGGATAATTCTTCTTCCTTTTACTCATCTTTTGTCCATCACTGGCCAGCACTAAACCGTTGACTATCAAGTTTTTAAATGGTGGCTTGTTAAATAATGCTGTTGATAACACCAACAGTGTATAGAACCTACCAAAGAAACAAAATATTGAATGTGACCAGAGGTACATTACTTGGGGTTTGCAACGCGCATAGTGCTGTATGGTGACATCATGCCAAGATCCCATTCAAGTCTCATCTCGTAGATAGCGAGACTGACGCTACGACCTTCTGACATGACATAGACATTTTGTAATAAAACAATAACACATGTATTACCACATTCATAGCGAAAAAATGTAGTGCATCGAAAATGTCATCCGTCACATCGTGAACAGCTAATTTGATCCACCTGGACATCCCAGTATCCTAGTTACCTCGGGCATGCGCATTCGCATTTTTCTACGTTGGAACGCTTATGCGAGAGCGAGATTGAAACGGGATCTTGGTATCATGTCACCGTAGTTGCAAACCCCAAGTAATGTACCTCTGATGTGACTCATACCTGTCTTCCTGCTTGCATACAAACCTGAAAAACTGTTGATGCTGGAAAACATTTGTACACATAGGATTTTCTGTGTACATTTCAAAAATACCTTTTTTCGAGTATGTGTCAGATGTATAAATAAAGTTGTATTTGAGAGTGTCAAAATAAAATAGGGAAATGTTTTAAATTGTTTAACTGTATAGTTCTAATAGAAATGCTTGGACTTGAAAATTTTACTTGTGCAGACATATTTGCAACCCAACGTTCATCAAATTGTCAACTTTCACTGACCACAACTATAGTGATCACATGATCTTCATCCACTGATATGAGTGATAATAAACATCTGAGTAGTGACAGATATAGTGCATACTTCTTCGCTGATTGAATTTCTGTATGCTATATTTGTGAATGCATGTTTTAACTCACCATCCTCTGGTCTGATCAATTCCTTCAGCAATGAAGTCAGCTGGAAATGTGTCTTCAAACTCACGTCTGTGTTCAAATGGATAATGTTGCTGTGCATATGGCATACTGAAATAGACAATACAAGTATTTATCAAATTGACTGTGGTGTATATCACATGACTGTGGTACACACCACATGACTGTGGTGCATATCACATGACTGTGGTGCATATCACATGACTGTGGTGCATATCACATGACTGTGGTACACATCACATGACTGTGGTACACATCACATGACTGGTACACATCACATGACTGTGGTGCATATCACATGACTGTGGTGCATATCACATGACTGTGGTGCACATCACATGACTGTGGTGCATATCACATGACTGTGGTACACATCACATGACTGGTGTGTATCACATGACTGGTGTGTATCACATGACTGTGGTGTGTATCACATGACTGGTGCGTATCACATGACTGTGGTGTATATATCATGACTGTTGGGCATGTCACATGATCGTTGTGCATATCACATGACCGTTGTGCATATCACATGACCGTGGTGTATATCAC